TTATTAAGTTTAACTATATACGCATTTGACAATGACTATAAAGATCAAAGAGTTAAAAATTGTGGTTGTAAATACAAATTTATAGTTTAAATATGTCTTTTTTTTTGTCTAATAATTTCTAAAAATTTTTTATTTAACAAATTAGATTTTGTAGCGCATCATATGATTTACAAAAATTAGCCAATCAGATTGGCTGATAACGATTTATTATCACGTGATCACCAAGGGGCATGCCCATGGGCATGAGGGCATGCCTCAACCAAAGGGCATGCACAATTTTTTACCTATGCCCCGAACCCTACTTAACAAGCTATCTGGCAAAAACAACTCTTTGATATCTAGCAAGAAGCAGATTCTGTCGATGCCTATATTAATCATTTTAAAAAGCTTTAAAATCGAATTGATCCTAATGAAGGATTTCCAGGAGATTTTATTAAACAACTTTTTATTCAAAGTCTGCAACATGACTTGGCTGTCTATATACAAGCATCTGATCCTGCAGATATGAATACTGCAATCGAAATGGCCAGAAAATAGGAAACTAGAAAAATGTTAGCTTCTGGATTTACTAGTAAAGTAGAAAATATGATCCAAGATCTAACTGATAGTCTTAAAAAAATGAGTCTTAATTTGGTCCAACAAGATAACAAGAAGGAAGCTTATACTATTGAAAGTAGTTATAACCCAAATAATCAGAATCAAGACAGGAATAGAAAAATCAACCCAAATATTCGTTGCTTTCGATATAACAATATTGGACATGTTGTTGCATAATGTCAACTTGATAGAGAAAGAAACAACTTTTATCAAAATAAAGATTCCAGAAGAAGATCCAGATTAGAACCTCGAAATTATAAAAGAAATCTATCTAGGAGTCAAGAAAGATATAGAAGAAATACTCGAGATTATAATCGTTATGACAGAAGCAGATCTAGAGATTATAATCGCTATAATAGAAACAGGTCTAGAAGTCAGTCTAGAGACTGGGAAGTCCATTATAGATCTTCTATTCGTCAGTATATCAACTTGGCAGATAATAAAGAAACTATCTCTACCAATCATTGGAATACTCTTTTAAATAATACTAGTATTAGAGAAGCCTTAGCAAATTATCTGCAAGGTAACTCCAATATTATAAATCTGGTGCACTCTAATAGACCACAAACTATTCCTGTGAAATGTCAAACAACTATTCGTAATAAACTATTTACGGCTATTATTGATAGTGAAGCTGCTATTAGTATGATTACCCAACAAGCTGCCAAAGAAATTGGATTAAAAATAGACACCCTTCTAATAGTTTAATTTCATCTGCACTTGGAAAACAAGTTAGACCTCTAGGTGTTATTAAGGATGTTCTTGTAGAAATTGCAGGAATTACTATTCCTATCTCCATGGAAGTTGTACCAGCAACTACTTACTCTCTTATTTTGGGAAATGATTGGTCTCGCAAAGTAGAAGCCTAGTATGATTGAAAAACTAAGGAATATATTATATATTAGGATAGTTATTATATTATTGTACCTACTATCTATGAGCATAATCAGGCTATAGAAGGACAACCCATAGTCAGTAAAGTAAATGATTACTGGGAAGAAGAATATGAGGATGAAGAATTAATCTCTTATGAGGCCTATACTTTAGAAGCAGAATCTAATAATATTGAAGATTCAGGATGGACTATATATCAACGAAAACCAAAAATCTCTTGCAAGAAAAACTAGTGATGTTGAACCTGTGAACAAACTGATCACTACTTTGAAGATTACCAATATAATAAATA